GGATCGGTTCCTGGAGTTTTTTTACATGTATGATGAAGACGGGTACCAGACCTACTGCACCATCTGTTGTGAAGGAAACGAGTTACTACTCTGCGACAGTGCCAGCTGCTTCAGGTGGGCCATTGTCCTTTCTTTCTTTCTTTCTTTCTTTCTTTCTTTCTTTCTTTCTTTCTTTCTTTCTTTCTTTCTTTCTTCCTCTCTCCCTCTTCCCTCCATCCCTCTCTCGACTCTTTCTTTCTTTCTCTTCCTTCCACCCTCCTTCCTTCTATCCTCCTTTCTTTCTTTCTTTCTTTCTTTCTTTCTTTCTTTCTTTCTTTCTTTCTTTCTTTCTTTCTCTCTCCCTCTTCCCTCCATCCCTCTCTCGACTCTTTCTTTCTTTCTCTTCCTTCCACCCTCCTTCCTTCTATCCTCCTTTCTTTCTTTCTTTCTTTCTTTCTTTCTTTCTTTCTTTCTTTCTTTCTTTCTTTCTTTCTTTCTTCCTCTCTCCCTCTTCCCTCCATCCCTCTCTCAACTTTTTCTTTCTTTCTCTTCCTTCCACCCTCCTTCCTTCTACCCTCCTTCCTTTCTTCCTTTCTTCCTTTCTTTCTTTCTTTCTTTCTTTCTTTCTTTCTTTCTTTCTTTCTTTTTTCCTTCCTTCCTCTTTCTTTTTCTTCCTCCTTCTTTCTTTCTTTCTTTCTTTCTTTCTTTCTTTCTTTCTCTTCTTCCCTCCCTCCTCCTTCCTTCCTTCTTTTCCTTCCTCCCTCCCTCCCTCCCTCTCTCCCTCCCTCTTTTCTCTCTCTTTCTCTCTCTCTTTCTTTCTTCTGACAAGCCAGGTCAATGGGTGAATTCAGATTCACTTCACAACCATGTTACTAACTTCACCACTGCAGGGACTCACTTAGCAACAGTGGCAAGAAACGTTGTAAAACGGGTCAAAGCTCACTTAACAACGGTCTCACTTAGCAAGGGACTATCTGGGGCTCCATTGTTGCCGTAAGTCGAGGACTGCTGTGCTTGTGCAATGGGGGCGATGGCCTTTCGGTGGCTTCTCAGATTCCTCCCCTGTGTTGCAGCTGCTTTTGCGTGGACTGCCTGAACACCCTGGTGGGACGGGGCACGGCCGAGGCTGCCCGAAAGGAAGAGCCCTGGAAGTGCTACGTCTGTCGGCCGCAACAGCGCTACGGCGTCCTGCTGCGACGGCAGGATTGGACCACGCGCCTGAAGGAGTTTTTCACCAGCGAGGAAGGGCAAGAATACGTAAGGAAGGGGAGGGAGACATTTTTTGGGGGTGGGGGCGAGAGATAAGCTCAGCTGCCCCCCCTCCAGCCATAGAAAACAGGCTGTTCCCCCCCCCCCGCCAGCTTTTCCAGAAAGTCAACACATCAGACTGCAGAGGTAGGCAACCTTGGCTCTTTTATGACTGGTGGACTTCAACTCCCAGAATTCCTCGGCTACCATGGCTCAGCTTGGAAACCTCTCCCTTTCCCCTCAGTGTGGCTGACTCAGTAATTCTGGGAGTTGAAGTCCACGACTCATGAAGGGGCCATAGTTCCCCATGCTGACTCAGGAATTCTGGGAGTTGAAGTCCACAAGCCATGAAGGGGCCATAGTTCTCTCATGCTGGCTCAGGAATTCTGGGAGTTGAAGTCCACCAGTCATGAAGGGGCCATAGTTCCCCCATGCTGGCTTAGGAATTCTGGGAGTTGAATCCACCAGTCATGAAGGGGCCATAGTTCCCCATGCTGACTCAGGAATTCTGGGAGTTGAAGTCCACGACTCATGAAGGGGGCCATAGTTCCCTCATGCTGGCTCAGGAATTCTGGGAGTTGAAGTCTACAAGTCATGAAGGGTCCATAGTTCCCTCATGCTGGCTCAGGAATTCTGGGAGTTGAAGTCCACAGGCCATGAAGGGGCCATAGTTCCCCCATGCTGGCTCAGGAATTCTGGGAGTTGAAGTCCACGAGTCATGAAAGGGCCATAGTTCCCCCATGCTGGCTCAGGAATTCTGGGAGTTGAAGTCCACCAGTCATGAGGGGGCCATAGTTCCCCCATGCTGGCTCAGGAATTCCAGGAGTTGGAGTCCACGAGTCATAAAAGAGCCAAGGTTGCCAACCCTTGCATCCGAACAAAGTCCATCACAAAATCCAACCAGGAAATCATAAGGGATTGTCTTCACCCTGCCTCTTGAGGAATAAATTGATTACTTGTTGGAGAAATTTTGTACAACATCAATCCCCAAAGTGCTTTTTCCAAAGGCAACTGGACTTTGTTTTACCTTAAGATGTTTTTCTTCTCATCCGAGAAGCTTCTGTAGTTCTGACTGAATGGTGGAGGAGGGAAGGGTTTGCATTCCTTCACAGTCACCTGCTCATTGGTACTCTTCCTGAGAGTCATTGAGGCAACGTGGGGGTTTATCTGCAAATGGGTCTGGAGCCTTCTTGGAACTGCTGACAGGGCTGTTTTTAAATGGGCGTGGAAGGAACCCTTCACTAAATGAATGGCTGTAAGTCAGGGACTACCTGAGGGGGTCCTTGGTGCTCTCTGAGATTGCCTGTTTTTTTTTTTGCAGATGTTTCTGTCAACACTGACAGGGGAAGCCACTAGAGTCTAAGCCAGGGGTTCTCAACCTTGGCAACTTTAAGACTTGTGGACTTCAACTCCCAGAATTCCTCAGCCAGCAAAGCTGGCTGAGGAATTCTGGGAGTTGAAGTCCACAAGTCTTAAAGTTGCCAAAGTTGAGAACCTCTGGAGCCAACAGCACTCCTTACTAGCACTGATGATGCTCCCTAGTTTGGGTCATGAAGTGTCTGCAAGAAAACAGGCAAGCTCAGAGAGCAATTCTCCTCCTCCTCTTCCTCGCACTGATGATGTTCCCTAATTGGGTCATGAAACGTTTGCAAGAAAACAAGACAAGCTCAGAGAGCATCAAGAACTCCACAGTTCTCCTTCTCTTTCTTTCTCTTTCTCTCCTTCTCCTTCTCCTCCTCCTCCTCCTTCTCCCTTCTAACACTGATGGTGTTTCCTAGTGGGGTCATGAAACGTCTGCAAGAAAACAAGACAAGCTCAGAGAGCATCAAGAACCCCACAGTTCTCTCTCTCTTTCTCTTTCTCCTTCTCTTTCATTCTCTTTTTCTCCTTCTCTTTCTCCTTCTTCTTCTCCTCCTTCTCCTTCTCTTTCTCCTTCTCCCTTCTAACACTGATGGTGTTCCCTAGTCAGGTCATGAAACGTCTGCAAGAAAACAAGACAAGCTCAGAGCATCAAGGACCCCACAGTTCTCTTTCTCTTTCATTCTCTTTTTCTCTTTCTCTTTCTCTTTCTCCTCTCCTCCTCCTCCTCCTCCCCCCCTTCTAGCACTGATGGTGTTCCCTAGTCGGGTCATGAAACGTGTGCAAGCAAACAAGCTCAGAGAGCACCAAGGACCCCTCATGTCAATCTTGAGCTACAAATATTCGCCTTTATTAGGAAGGAATACCTATATCTGGTTTGTGTGTGTGTGTGTGTGTGTGTGTGTGTGTGTGTGTGTGTGTGTGTGTGTGTGTGTCAGGATTGTGGCTCAGATATGGTTGTAATCTGAGGACTGCCTGTATTAAATTTGCCCCCTGAATCAGAGCAGCATCATTGAAGGCAAGAAATGCGACAGAAAGCTAACTATGGTGGTGATAAACTGACACACTTACTGGTGTGGGTTTGTGTGTGTCTCCCACATGCTTTATTCCCCCCCCCCCAATCTCATCCTATCACAGGAGGTGCCCAAAATCTACCCTGCCATTCCCGCCGCGAAACGGAAGGCCATCCGCGTGCTGTCTCTTTTTGATGGCATCGCCACAGGTGAGAGCTTGTTCAGGTCTAATGGATGAATGCCCAGGTAGGCTGGGAGGTCACGAAGAGAGAGAGGCCGTTGAATGCTCCCCAGACAGGGAATTCAATTCCAGCAGTCCCAGACACAACACTGGGAGGCCAAAATCCCCAAAACTCATTTATTTTGGCCATGTCATGCAAGGGGATTCAGTGGAGAAAGCAATTAGGTTGGGAAGAGCCAGTGGTTAAGATGATGATGATGATGATAAAGTTGGAAGGGACCTTGGAGGTCATTTAGTCCAACCTCCTGCTCAGTCAGGAAACCCTATACCAGTGGTTCTCAACTTTTTTAATGCCGCGACCCCCAACCGATCGTAAGTCTACTCAACTGGTGCAGCACCGTTTGCAGAATGGGACTTTTGGCGGGCTCAGCAGGGCAGAGACAGCCTGGACAATTCCTATTGGCTTTTGAAAGCCAATAGAATTAGACTCTATTCAAGAGATTCTATTCTATTGGCTTTGAAAAGCCAGTAGAATAAGAGGGAGTAGCACAGCTAAGGAAAAGGGGGGAAAATGGCGGACTGCGTTGTTTGGCTACCCCCGTGAAATGGTTGTTCGACCCCAAATGGGGTCCTGACCCACAGGTTGAGAACCACTGCCCTAGACCATGTTGGAGAAATGGATGTTCAGTCTCTTCTTAAAAACTTCCAGTGTTGGAGAATTCACAACTTCTGGAGGCAGGTTGTTCCACTGGTTAATTGTTCTGACTGTCAGGAAGTTTCTCTTTAATTCCAGGTTGCTTCTCTCCTTGGTTAGTTTCCATCCCTTGCTTCTTGTCCTGCCTTCAGGGGCTTTGGAGAATAGCTTGACTCCCTCTTCTTTGGGGCAGCCTCTGAGATATTGGAAGGCTGCTGTCATGTCATTCCCCAGTCCTTCTTTTCTCTAGACTGGCCATACCCAATTCCTGCAAACTTATAAGGAATGACCTGATAGCAGTCTTCCAATATCTCAGGGGTTCCCACAAAGAAGAAGGGGATGAATCTATTATACAAAGCCCCTGAAGGCAGAACTAGAAGCAACGGATGGAAACTAAGCAGTTCCTAGCAAGGCCGCCTTTTGCAATTGACCAATGGCGAATCTGTCGATGCCAATGATGGTGTCCAAGTGGTGCTCCAGTTCTTTTGGGATTGCACCCAAGGCACCTATTACTATTGGTACTACCCTTGCTTGCCTTTGCCACATTATCATCATCATCATTATTATGCTATCGATCATCGCACAGTCAGCCAGATGTTCAGACTGGATTTGGCATGCCGTCTACCTATCGAGTCCTTACCCAGGACCTGGGATAGGCAGATGTGGATGTTTGATGGTATTACAGATATCGTCGGAGGATGGAAGCAGTTCCTAATAAGGCCGCCTTTTGCAATTGACTAATAGCGAATTTGTCAATGCCAATGGTGTTCAAGTGGTGCTCCAGTTGTTTTGGGATTGCACCCAAGGAGCCTATGACTATTGGTACTACCCTTGCTTGCTTTTGCCATAGTCTTAATAATAATAATAATAATTATTATTATTGTTGATCATCGCACAGTCAGCCAGATGTTCAGACTGGATTTGGCACTTTGTCTACCTATCGAGTCCTTACCCAGGACCTGGGATAGGCAGATGTGGATGTTTGATGGTATTATAGGTATCCTATTATTATTATTATTATTATTATTATTATTATTATTATTATTATTATTATTATTATTAATACACAGACATATATATTATATTTGCTCATTGAGAATGTAATTGTAATGTGCTTCCCCCCCATTGTTGCCCTATGCTAAATAAAGGTTCCCTTAGCAATGATGCCTTCAGGCAACTAGGATTGTAAAACTTGGAGGAACGTGCTACTTCTACCCCGTGAAGCCACTGTGAGGAGGACGGCAAGACCCACCGTCATTTCTACCCAAGGGCAGCTCTTCTCCACAATCTTTCTGTCTTAGCACAGAATTGGGCAAAATTCAGCTTCCTTCTGTAAAGCCAATCTGTATATTGCATATGGCCTCTCCTTCCTTCTTTTATCAACCACACATTTTTCCTTCCTGTAACTCACTACACCCGGTTGGCTGTCCGTCCACCTGGCACGTAGAGGTAATTCTCGGCTTGCAATCATTCGTTTAGTGACGCTTCCCAGTGGTGAGAACATCGAAAAAAGCGAGTTGTGACTCTTTCACGCGCGTGACCGTTGCAACATCCCCGTGGTCACGGGACCAAAATTCGGACGCTTGGCAACTGACTCGTCTTTATGACGGTTTGCAACGTCCCGGGGTGTGTGTGTGTGTCACACGATCTCCTTTTGGGACCTTCTGACAAGCCGAGTCAATGGGGAAGACAGATTCGCTTAACGACCGGGTCACTAACTGAACAACTGCAGGGATACCCTGCACCGCGCTGGCGAGAAAGGTCGTAAAACGGGACAAAACTCACTTAGCGGCGGTCTTGTTAGCGATGGAAATTGTCGCAAGTCGAGGACTGCCTGTATGTTTCCTCCCAGCTACAGGGGTGCTGGAAAAATCCTTTTGTGGCATCGTATGGGCACAAATATTACAGGTTTTTCACAAGAATGGGAAGGTTGCGGATTCCTTTTCCCACTGTAGGAGGTGGATACTTCCCGGGCCGGATGCTCCTCAGCGGGTCCTTGCTGATCCCTCTCGGTGAATCCTCCTTTTCTCACTCAGGCCTTTCTGCCTTCCTAGGTTACCTGGTCCTGCGGGATCTGGGCATCCAAGTGGAGAAATACATCGCTTCCGAGATCTGCGAGGACTCCATCTCGGTGGGGACTGTGCGGCATGAAGGAAACATCCGATACGTGCATGACGTGAGGAACATAACCAAGAGACACGTAAGGAATCCGATGTTCTGGGTTCAAAAGGCAGAAAGGTGGTGGGTTATTGTAGGAGGGGAGAGGGAAGAACATGAGGGGTGGAGTCAAAAGAGGGACCAGCCTAGAATCCTTTCGTGGCCACAAGCGGACTAAGTCTGTTCATTCTGGATTTCCACAGACTCTTATTTCCATGGATCCTTATTTGCACTGATGGTGTTACCTAGTTTGGGTCATGAAATATCTGCAAGGAAACCACCAAGCTCAGACAGCACCAAGAACCCCGTTCCCCTCCTCCTCCTCCTCCACCATTACTACTACTACTACTACTACTGATGCTGTCCCCTAGTTGGATCATGAAACGTCTGCAAGAAAACCAAGCTCAGACAAGAAGAAACCAAGTTTTTCTCCTCCTCCTCCTCCTCCACCTCCTCCTCCTCCTCCTCCTCCTCCTCCTCCTCCTCCTCCTCCTCCTCCTCCTCTCTTTTAGCACTGATGATGTTCCCTAGTTGGGTCATGAAACATCTATGAGAAAACCACCAAGCACCAAGGACCTTAATTTAATTCCAAGCAGGTGCTAGTTGTGAGTTGAGAAGATTTCTGCGCATAGGCACGGGTAGCAACAAATCAGTTGACTTTAATATTCTCAAAAATTTCAGTGGAATTCACTTGTGGCTGTGTAGGGAACAGGAGAGGAGGAGGAGGAGGAAGAGGACTTTGAGGTCCTTGGTGCACTCTGAGCTTGGTGATTTTCTTGCAGATGCTACATGACCAAACTATCTAATCTCATCAGTGTTAGAAGGAGTAGGGTTTGTGGCATGGAAAAGGAGAGGAGGAGGAGGACGAGCAGAAGGGGGTAAGGAGGAGGAAGAGGAAACTTGGTGCTGTCTGAGCTGGGAGGTTTTCTTGCAGATGTTTCATGACCCAACTAGGGGACAGCATCAGTGCTAGGAGGAGGAGGAGGAGAAGGAAGGAAGGAAAAAAAGAAAGAGAGAGAGAAAGAAAAGAAAGAGAAAAAGAAAGAAAGAAAAGAAAGAAAGAAAGAAAGAAAGAAAGAAAAAGAAAGAAAGAAGGAAAATCAGGGTCCTTGGTGCTGTCTGAGCTGGGTTGTTGTCTTGCAGATGTTTCATGATCCAACTAGGGGACATCAGTGCTAGAAGGGAGGAGGGTTTGCAGAGTGGAAGAGGAGGACGACTGTGGGGTCCTCAGTGCTGTCTGAGCTGGGTGGTTTTCTTGCAGATGTTTCATGACCCAGCTAGGGGACAGCATCAGTGCCAGGAGGAGGAGGAGGAGAAGGAAGGAAAAGAAAGAGAGAGAGAGAGAAAGAAAGAAAGAAAGAAAGAAAGAAAGAAAGAAAGAAAGAAAGAAAGAAAGAAAGAAGGAAGGAAGGAAAATCAGGGTCCTTGGTGCTGTCTGAGCTGGGTTGTTGTCTTGCAGATGTTTCATGATCCAACTAGGGGACATCAGTGCTAGAAGGGAGGAGGGTTTGCAGAGTGGAAGAGGAGGACGACTGTGGGGTCCTCAGTGCTGTCTGAGCTGGGTGGTTTTCTTGCAGATGTTTCATGACCCAGCTAGGGGACAGCATCAGTGCCAGGAGGAGGAGGAGGAGAAGGAAGGAAAAGAAAGAGAGAGAGAGAGAGAGAGAGAAAGAAAGAAAGAAAGAAAGAAAGAAAGAAAGAAAGAAAGAAAGAAAGAAAGAAAGAAAGAAAGAAGGAAGGAAGGAAAATCAGGGTCCTTGGTGCTGTCTGAGCTGGGTGGTTTTCTTGCAGACGTTTCATGACCCAACTAGGTGACATCATCAGTGGTAGAAGGGAGTGGAGGAGGAGGAGAAACGGAGGGGGGGGGGACTCTGGGGTCTTCTCGAAGCTTGCTTACTTCCGTGCAGAGGTTTCATGACGGAACTTCAGCCTGCTGCAATCACGTGTCTGCATTTTACGACGGTTCCGCCCAAACCTGGAACCGACGTCCAGTTTTCGGCAAAACCGCCCCCCACCCCATCGAACCCACCCTTCCCATAACAACATCGCCGTGGCCTATAACGACGGCCCCCAAAACAGGTCATCAAATGGGGCCGGCTGCGTGGGCCACCCAATTTAGAGCGCAACGACAACCCGAGCTCCGTGACAGTTGCAACAAGAGGACTAGTTACTTAAAAGAAGCAAGCTCTCGTGGGACGGAGACTCGTCCCTTAACAGCGGCTCTCCCTTGCAGATTGACGAGTGGGGTCCTTTCGATTTGGTGATCGGCGGAAGCCCCTGCAACGACCTGTCCATCGTCAACCCCGCCAGAAAAGGTTTGTATGGTAAGCTGAGCCGTCCGAGGTCCGTGTTCGAGTTGGCTTTGGGCGGATCCGTGGCGCTGAGCTCTCCCTGACCCCCTCCTCTCTCCTCCCTTCCGGCTGGCAGAAGGGACCGGCCGCCTGTTCTTTGAGTTCTACCACCTTCTGAACTACACCCGCCCCAAGGTTGGAGAAGACCGTCCGTTCTTCTGGCTCTTCGAAAACGTGGTGTCCATGCGGGTCAACGACAAGAGGGACATCTCCCGGTTCCTGGAGGTAAAAGCTGCGGCAGGGTCTAGTGTCAACGCTGCTAACATCGGATGTTTTTGCTTTGACGAGTTAGATCAGTGGTTCTCAACCTTTCTAATGCCGTGACCCCATAATACAGTTCCCCATGTTGTGGTGACCCCCAACTATTTATACATCACCGGGTGCCAGGGGTGTGGCCAAAGAAAAGGGGGAAAAAATGGCGGACAGCCTTGTTTGGCAACCCCCGTGAAATGGTTGTTCGACCCCAAATGGGGTCCCGACCCACAGGTTGAGAACCACTGAGTTAGATGATGCTGGGTGGGGGAAGGATTGTGCAGGAGAGTTTAGATCAGTGGTTCTCAACCTTTTAATGCCGCGACCCCCAACCAGTCGTAAGTTGAGGACTACTCAACCGGTCGTAAGTCGAGGACTACTCAACTGGTGCAGCACTGTTTGCAGAATGGGACTTTTGGCGGACTCAGCAGGGCAGAGACAGCCTGGACAATTCCTATTGGCTTTGGAAAGCCAATAGAATTAGACTCTATTCAAGAGAGTCTATTCTATTGGCTTTCAAAAGCCAATAGAATAAAAGGGAGGAGCACAGCTAAGGAAAAGGGAGAAAAAAATGGTGGACTGCGTTGTTTGGCGGCACCCATGAAATGGTCGTTCGATCCCAAATGGGTCCCGACCCACAGGTTGAGAACCACTGGTTTAGATAGACATAATAATACTGGACGTAGGGTATGAGCCAAGCTTCATGAAATAAGAGCTGATAAGAATTGGCAGACTGGAGGACTGGAGGGAAGGCCTGCATTTCAAGCTAATGGGAGAATGTGATTTATGCCTTTTAATTGGAGGAGGGAATTGTGCTTTGATACTATGCGCTCAAGGGAGGGGAATCCAGATTTTGGCTTCGATTGTGTTAGTGCCGATGCTATGCTACTCGAATAAAGATTCTTTAAGGTAAACAATGCCTTGAAGTTCTTGGAAGAGTTTCATCTGTGGGAACCATGACACTCAGAGACCAAGGGAAGGGGGGCTTTGAGGGGCTGCCCTGAACTCTTAAGAGTTCGTGGCAGCTGAGAGACAACGGGAGGAGACTGAAACATCAGCCACTCCTTGGCTGGGCCAACGTGGGAGGTTGAGAAAGGCTGCTTTAGGCCATTGTGCCCAGCTCTTCCTGCCAATCTTTGTGGATTTTGGGGAGGGGGTCTTCCTGCCAATCTTTGTGGATTTTGGGGAGGGGGGGGCCTCGGTGTTTTCTGAGGTTGAGTGTTTTCATTACTTGACTACGTAATATCATCAGTGGTAGAAGGGAGTGGAGTTTGTGGAGAGGAGGAGGACAACTGTGTGGTCCTTGGTACTCTCTTGAGTTTAGTTGTTTTCTTGGAGACGTTTCATGACCCAACTAGGGAACATCATCAGTGCTAGAAGGGAGTGGGGTTTGCAGGCAGGAGGAGGAAGAGAAAGAGAAAGAATGTGGGGTCCTTGGCACTCTCTGAACTGGGTGGTTTTCTTGTGGACATTTCATGACCCAACTAGGGCACAGCATCAGTGCTAGAAGAGAGATGGAGGAGGAGAACCGTGGGGTCCTTGGTGCTCTCTGAGTTTGGTTGTTTTCTTGGAGATGTTTCATGACCCAACTATGGAGCGTCAATGCGAGAAGGGAGGGGGGCTTGCGGGAGGAGGAGGAGGAGGAGGAAGAGGAGGAGGAGGAAGACTGTGGGGTTCCTTTGTGCTCTCTGAGCGTGGTGGTTTTCTGGCAGTTTCCCAACTAGGGAATGTCATCAGTGCTAGAAGGGCATGGAGTTGGCATAAAGGAGGAGGAGGAGGAGGAGGAGGAGGAGGAGGAGGAGGAGGAGGAGGAGGAGGAGGAGGAGGAGGAGGAGGAGGAGGAGGAGGAGGGCTGTGGGGTCCTTAGTGCTCTCTGAGCTTGGTGGTTTCCTTGCAGATGTTTCATGACCCAACTAGGGAACATCATCAGTGCTAGAAGGGAGGAAGAGGTGGAGGAGGACTGTGGGATCCTTGGTGCTCTCTGAGTTTGGTGGTTTGCTTGCAGACATTTTGTTACCCAACTGGGGAACATCATCAGTGTTAGGGGGGTTGTGAGGAGGAGAAAGCTGTGAGGACCTTGGATCTCTCTGAGCTGGGCTGCTTTTTTGCAGATGTTTCATTGCACCAGTAGGTAGCAGCATCAGTGCTAGAAGGGGGGGGGGTTGTGGAAAAGAAAAGAAAGAAGAAAAGAAGAGGAGGAGGAGGACTAGTCAGAATTGAACTCCCGGCTGTGGGCAGAGGGAGTGGTGTTTGTGGAGGAGGAGGAGGAGGAGGGGGAGGGGGAGGGGGAGGGGGAGGGGGAGGAGGACTGTGGGTCCTTGGTGTTTTCTGGGCTTGGCTGTTTTCTTGCAGACCTTTCATGATCCAACTCTGTAGCACCCTCCGTGCTGGGACTGGGGATCCCCCCCCCCCCGGCTAACTCCTTTCCGTTTCTCCGCAGTGCAACCCGGTGATGATCGATGCTATCAAGGTCTCCGCTGCACACAGAGCCAGATATTTTTGGGGCAACCTGCCAGGGATGAAGAGGTAAGAGAAAAGTTGGCATCCCACGGCCCTCGACCTGCCTTGGCAACCTGCTCCGTGCGATCCCTAGAAGATGGGGGAGGCTGGGGTGTACGTTGTACGCCTGCCAGGTGGAAAGAGAGCGGGCTCCCTTTCGGGAAAGCGACGTCATCGTGCACACGCACAAAATGGCTTCCCAAGCTGGGCACGAACAAAAATGTCCAGGATGCTCGTGATGCGTATTCGGGTACTTCCCTCAGCCAAGGGGTCCCCTTTGTCGTTCTTCTGGGCAAAGGAGGATCCTCCTATTGATGCCCCCCTGTGTGTGTGTGTGTGTGTGTGTGTGTATCTTTTGGTCTGAGGGGTCCTGGGTGGTCTCTGAGCCTGGTGGTTTTCTTGCAGACATTTCATGACCCATCTAGGTAATATCATCAGTGCTAGAATGGTGGTTTGTGGAGTGGAGGAGGAGGAAGAGGAGGAGGAGGAGAAGCTTAGAGAGCACCAAGGAATCTACAATCCTCCTCCTCCTCTCCCTTCTACCACTGATGACGTTACCTAGTTGGGCCATGAAACATCTGCGAGAAAACCACCAAGCTCAAAGAACACCAGGGACCCCACAGTCGTCGTCGTCCTCCTCCTCCTCCTCCTCTTCCTCCTCCTTCTCCTCCTCCTCCTCTTCCACTCTGCAATCCCCCCTCCCTTCTAGCACTGATAATGTTCCCCAGTTGAGTCATGAAATGTCTACAAGAAAACAACCAAGCTCAAAGAGCACCAGGGACCCCACAATCCTCCTCCTCCTCCTCCTCCTCCTCCTCCTCCTCCTCCTCCTCCTCTTCCTCTCCTCTCCACAAACCCCCCTCCCTTCTAGCACTGATAATGTTCCTCAGTTGGGTCATGAAATGTCTACAAGAAAACAACCAAGCTCAAAGAGCACCAGGGACCCCACAATCCTCCTCCTCCTCCTCCTCCTCCTCCTCCTCCTCCCTTGTAGCACTGATGACATTCCCTAGCTAGGTCATGAGATGTCTTGAAACCACTTGGCTCAGAGACTACCCAGGACCCCTCATTTCGGCCCTGAGCCACAAACGCTCTCTCCTCTATCCGTATCTTGTGATCTGCTTTCCTGGGGGGAGACTTCCCTGCACCCTGCAAACTTTAAGTAGCATGGCTTTGGGAAGGCATGGGGGGGGGCGCTGGATGGCAGAGGTTCTGTCAATCTTTTCTCTTTGCAGGCCTTTGGTGGCCTCCAAGGGAGACAAGCTGGAGCTTCAGGATTGCCTGGAGTACAGTCGGACAGCGAAGGTAACCACGATGTCCCCAGTTTTTCTTTTCTGGCATAAAGGATGTTGTAGAACAGCTCTCCTCTGTGCATGCTGGTTTCATCCCTGAAACTTTCAAGAAGAAACTGGACTGCCGTCCGTCAGAAAGGGTGCGGGGTCTTCTGCTTGGGTGCGGGGTTGGGCTAGATGACCTACAAGGTCCCTTCCCACTCTGTGATTGTTGTTGTTGTTATCCTGATGTTGTGAATGCCAAATCTGGCTTTGCTCAGCCCCAAACTGCTGTCCCTGGTCTGTTCGGCCACCTTCTCTTCAGACCAGCCCTTGGGCATCCTGGGTCACTCCAATGACTCAGGAATTCTGGGAGTTGAAGTCCTCGAGTCATAAAAGAGCCACAGTTGCCTACCCCTGGCCTAGTTCATTGTTTCTCCGCCTCAGCAACTTTAAGACATGTGGACTCCAACTCCCAGAATTCCTGAGCCAGCCATGCTGAGGGGAAAGGGAGAGGTTTCCAAGCTGAGCCATGCTGGCTGAGGAATTCTGGGAGTTGAAGTCCACGAGTCATGAGGAAGCCATAGTTCCCCCGTGCTTTCTCAGGAATTCTGGGAGTTGAAGTCCACGAGTCATGAGGGGGCCATAGTTCCCCCGTGCTGGCTCAGGAATTCTGGGAGTTGAAGTCCACGAGTCATGAGGGGGCCATAGTTCCCCCATGCTTTCTCAGGAATTCTGGGAGTTGAAGTCCACCAGTCATGAGGGGGCCATAGTTCCCCCTTACTGGCTCAAGTTTGAAGACCCCTGGTTTAAATATTTAAATATTTTTTCCTCACAGTCACATTATCAAAATTCAGGCATTTGGGCAGGGGTAGGCAACCTCGGCTCTTTTATGACTCCTGGACTTCAACTCCCAGAATTCCTGAGCCAGCATGGGGGAACAATGGCCCCCTCATAACTGGTGGACTTCAACTCCCAGAATTCCTGAGCCAGCCATGCTGAGGGGAAAGGGAGAGGTTTCCAAGCTGAGCCAGGCTGGCTCAGGAATTCTGGGAGTTGAAGTCCACGAGTCATGAGGGGGCCAAGGTTGCCTACCCCTGGGTGAAACTAATAAAACTTTTAATAAAGAGAAAGAAATGAGGAGTGCTCCCTGGGCCAACATCTTCGCACCCCAATCGTTCTGCAAGCGGCTGTTTTTTTCCTCCTCCTTCTTTCTCCTCTCTGCTTCTCTTCTGCAGATGAAGAAGATCCGGACCATCACCACCAAGTCCAACTCCATCCGGCAGGGAAAGGCCAAGATGCTGCCCGTCTCCATGAATGGAAAGGACGACGATCTGTGGTGCACAGAATTGGAAAGGTGGGGGGAGAGGAGGGGAAGGAAGCGATGAGAAAAGCAGCCAGTGCTGGAATGGCTCCCCCAGGGAGGAATCTAGGACAGGGGTAGGCAACCTTGGCTCTTTTATGACTCGTGGACTTCAACTCCCAGAATTCCTGAGCCGGCATGGGAGAACTATGGCCCCCTCATGATTGGTGGACTTCAATTCCCAGAATTCCTGAGCCATCATGGCTCAGCTTGGAAATCTCTCCCTTTCCCCTCAGCATGGCTGGCTCAGGAATTCTGGGAGTTGAAGTCCACAAGTCATGAGGGCGCCATAGTTCCCCCATGCTGGCTCAGGAATTCTGGGAGTTGAAGTCCATGAGTCATAAAAGAGCCAAGGTTGCCTACTCCTGGCCTAGGGGAGCTTTTCTCAAAAAAGATTATGGGACCTTGAAGATGGTGGGACCTCCGCTCCCAGAATTCCCCAGCCAGCATGCTTTAAGAGGGGTGAGCTTCCGCTCCCAGAATTCTTAAGAAAAATCTGCTTGATGCAGGCCTAGTTAGACCAGTGTTTCTCAACCTTGGACACTTCAAGATGGGTCGACTTCAACTCCCAAAACCCCCCAGCCAGAGTCTGCTTAACAACAGCAATGTTTTTTGGATCACAATAACCCCTGCCAAAATAGTTGCAAAATCAGGGATGGTCCCACGATGACCTGCTTTGCGATGTTCACGACTTACAACCGAAATGGCACGCTCAATTTCGGTCGTAAGCCGAGGGTGGCCCTTACGCTTCTGCCTTGTCCTTGGCAAAGAGGATGGATGAATTGTTCTGCATTTATTCCATAACCGGGGTGTTCAAACGTGGCCACTTTAAGACTTGTGGACTTCAACTCCCAGAATTCCTCAGCTAGCCCTCAGGGATGGCTTAGGTATTCTGGGAGTTGAAGTCCACAAGTCTTAAAGTGGTCAAGTTTGAAGACCCTTGTTTTACAAGCTGAGTTTCCCCCCCAAATTGCTCAGATGAGTTGGTGTTCGTAAGTTTCCAGGCAGGCCTGGGTGTTGTCCTGCTCATTGGAACAAGGTGTGTGTCCTGCTTCTCTTCCAACATATTTGGGGATGCCCGGTTTCAAGAGACCCACTTTGCAATTGTCCGATCTTTTTGTCGCCTTGCAAAACATCCTTCTGCTGTTCCCTCTGTCATGTTCTTGAGATGTTTTGAGAATTTGCTTGGCAATTTCTCGATGTTGTTTTACAGCCTGCAGAGGATAAGCCTTCTCTCTCTGTGAGTAATACTCTCATTTCCCAGTATGAAATGGCAAAAAGGAGGGGTGGCCTTGGAGTTTAACACAGACGTAAAACTCTGGGGCCCTTGGTGCTCTCTGAGCTGGGTGGCTTTCTTGCAGATGTTTCGTGACCCAACTAGGGCACATCATCAGTGCTGGAAGGGAGGGGGGTTTGTGGAGAGGAGGAGGAGGAGGAGGAGGAGGAGGAGGAGGAGGAGAAGAACTATGGGTTCCTTGCTGTTCTCTGAGCTGGGTGGCTTTCTTGCAGACGTTTCACGACCCAGCTAGGTAACCTCATCAGCGCTAGAAGGGAGGAGGGTTTGCAGAGTGGAAGAGGAGGAGGAGGAAGAAGAGAAAGAGAAAGAGAAAGAAAGAATGGTGCTCTCTGAACTGGGTGGTTTTCTTGCAGACCTTTCATGACCCAACTAGGGAACCTCATCAGTGCTAGAACGGAGTAGCACTTACTCTCTATTTATATTCTGTGGGTGACCCTGTCAGAATTGGTGGGAGACGCCCAGTGGTGGGATTCTGCCGGTTTGTACTGGTTTGGCAGAACTGATACCGAATTTTCTCTTGAGTTCGGCAAACGGGTTAGGATAAATCTGTGTTTTCCGGAACACAGTTCTGATTTTCGTTCAAGTTCCTTCCAGGTGGGGGAATTAAAAAAAAAAACCCTCCCCAAAAGTCCAAAAGAGGAACGACAGAGATGACAAGAAGACGTGGCGGTTTCGATCACGTCAACTGTGCGCCCGCCTCTTCCCTTTCACTCCCCTCCCGAGCCGGACGGCCATGCTACTCAAGATGGGCCTTACCAAGTCCCCCTCTGCCATTTTGGAGCCCGGAGGGAGTGGGGGGGAAAAAGGCTGTGCCGCCCCTGCACAACAACCGCGTCTGCCGCTGGAGGGGTGATCTTTGATCTCTACCGCCTCCTTCTGCACCAACTCTCCCGTGGTTTGCGCCCTGACTTGGGGGCGCAAGTCTCCCCTGCCACCTCTCTCTCTGCAGCTGGTGCCTCCCTCTGTGCTGCAGCTACCAAAAAAGCCAACACAGTGCTAGGCTGCAGTAACAGAGGGAGAGAATCAAGATCATGTGAAGTGTTGATACCACTTTGCAAGGCCTTGGTAAGGCCACACTTGGAATACGGCATCCGGTTTTGGTCACCACAATGTAAAAAAGGTGTGGAGACTCTAGAAATAGTAGAGAGAAGAGCAACAAAGATGATTAGGGGACTGGAAGCTAAAACATATAAGGAACGGTTGCTGGAATTGGGTATATCTAGTCTAATGAAGAGAAGGATGAGGGGGGACAGGATAGCAGCCTTCTAGTATCTCGGGGGCTGCCCCAAAGAAGAGGGAGTCAAGCTGTTCTCCAAAGCACCTGAAGGCAGGACAAGGAGCAACGGATGGAAACTAACCAAAGAGAGAAGCAACCTAGAACTAAGGAGAAACTTCCTGACAGTGAGAACAATTAACCAGTGGAACTATCTGCCTCCAGAAGCTGTAAATGCTCCAACGCGGGAAGTTTTTAGAAGAGACTGGACAGCCATTTGCCCGAAATGGTACTCTAGTCCAACCCCCTGCTCAGGCAGGAAACCCTATACCATTTTGGGCAAATGGCTGTCCAGTCTCTTCTTAAAAACCTCCAGTGTTGGAGCATTCACCACTTCTGGAGGCAGGTTGTTCCACTGGTTAATTATTCTCACTGTCAGGAAGTTTCTCCTTAGTTCTAGGTTGCTTCTCTCCTTGATTAGTTTCCATCCGTTGCTTCTCATCCTGCCTTCAGGGGCTTTGGAGAAGAGCTTGACTCCCTCTTCTTTGGGGCAGCCCCTGAGATATTGGAAGGCTGCTATCATGTCCCCCCTCGTCCTTCTCTTCATTAAACTTGTTGTTGTTGTTAATTGCGAAGTCATGTCCGACCCATCGCGACCCCATGGACAACGTTCCTCCAGGTCTTCCTGTCCTCATTAAACTGGACATACCCAATTCCAGTAACTGTTCCTTATACGTTTTAGCCTCCAGTCCCCTGATCATCTTCTTTAGGGTGTGTGTGTGGAGGGGTCCTAACACCTTACAGATCCGGGAGAGAGGGGTTACTAATGGTCTTTACTCTCACCAGGATCTTCGGTTTCCCACTCCATTACACCGATGTGTCCAACATGGGCCGCCTGGCACGTCAGAAGCTGCTTGGACGTTCGTGGAGTGTCCCCGTCATCCGTCACCTGTTTGCACCCCTGAAAGATTATTTTGCCTGCGATTAGGCTGCAGGAATCCTGCGGGTCTCCCGGGCGGGAAAGGGGAGAGCTGAGCCCACCCTCGACCCCCCGTAAAGGAGACCCTCCTCTTTGCAGAAAAATCCACAACTTTTCTTCTAAGCGCGAGAGACCTTTTTGAGTTCCTGTTGTGCCAAAACAAACCGACCAACCCACCAACCAGAATTTTTGGGGAGGGGAGCTGCAGAGGTAGCCTTCCTCCCTCGTCTTGTGCGGACGGGAAACTGAGGCCGCTGGAACGAAGAGCAGTTTTCCGACAGAAGAAGAGTAAAACTTGAAATAGGAATGCCGCCGGATCCGATCCCAGAGTCACCCACCTGTAGCAATGAGCCAACTTTTGACTTGTGTTTCTCCCGCTGTTCACACTGGAAGAACAAAACGGGAAAATTTCTTTCTTTTTTTTCTTTTTCAACTGTTTTTTCTTCCTTTTTTTTTAAAGAGCGTAAAACTTGTGGGAATAAGGGGTAGGGAGAGAGACTTTTACAGCCCTTTTTTGGGACGCTGTGAAAATTCCTAGAGAGGAATTTGGGCTGGATGCAAGCCGGGCGATAACCCTACTACATGGAGCAAAAACAAAAAAACGTGCCATACATATTCCGTACATCTCCTTCACTTTTAAAATTACACGATGCCTTTAATGCAGACAAAAATGCATTTGGGGCATTTTTACTGCCAAGGACACATCTCCTTCAACTCGTTTCAATTTTTTTGCTGGGTATTTCTTTCCTTTTTTTTCTTTTTAAAGAGCTGTGCAAGAACATTTGCACGACCATGGTCCCTTCAGAGGCAGGGAAATTCCCAACAGGCAGCGAAAAACCCACTGCATCACCCCAAAAGACAAATCTGCAGCTTTCTGCGAAGAATCCAACCCCTTTGCAGAAAGAAAGAAAGAGTTGAAAGCTGCTATCAGATTCTCCAGCCTGTTTGCTTCGTTGCCTTGTTTGGACCCCAGTGAACTTCGATCCTCACCGATGCTGCTATTTCATCGTGAAGCTTGATTGTTTTCCTTGACTGCCCGTCCTTCAAACCTTGATTTCGTTAGATCAGGATAAGAGTTGGGTAGAATGGATGCCGCCACCTGGGGGATAAAGGGGTTTAATTGGATCTTTCTGCTTGCTAGTTTCTACCCGTTGCCATAATCCTGAACACCAAAGTTTGCACGTTTGCACTGAGTCCGTCCATGCCCTACTTGGGGCTTCCTGGTGTCTGTATGAATCAAACCACGTCAATCGGTGCAGGAGACATAGTTTCATTCTCTGCAACCAGGATGTCTGTCCAAAACACAGAGAAGCAAACCCTCTTTCTACACATGGGCAGGGGTGCCCGTGTTGTTCTTGAACCAAATTCCAACTTTCCATCAAAGATAGAGTAGGAGACTCGGCTTGGGTGTCAGGATTGCTGGACTCCCGCAGGAAACACACTTGGCATTGCAGACGGTCAAATCTGTCAGCAAAGTTGCTTAAGTCAGCCACAGAGGAAGATGGACAGTTGTCGAGAGCCATCACAGTTCCGATTTGATGTGTTTCCTTGCGGGCAAATGGGGGGAGCTGTTTGCGGCCTCCCTTTTTCCTTGTCAGTATTTGAGGTTGCCGCTTCACATTTATCCGACATTATCAACGTGCAAAATGTGCCCCAGCTGTAGCCTGCCTCTCTGCCCACCTCTTTTGCTGCCGGTTAAAATAGGCCTGCTGCAATTCCGGAGCCGTTGGCACCCCAATGGATCCTACTCCACTTGGAATGTCAACTCTCAGGGATAAGGAAGCACCCCACAAAACCGAATGCCAGTAATTTAGGGCAGAAGCAGAGATCCCTTGGCAAGATGCCCGTGGCGTGTCCTAAGCCACTCAAAGCCCTGCCCGAATTGGGTGGCGTGTGTGAGTTGTTGCGCATCCATGCGCGAGGGCTGTTGCTGATACCGCTGGGTGTGGGACAGTCGTGACTGTGTTATAGGTTAGGTGTGTTTGCTGGTTTGACTTTTGTTAACCGAATCCGTGGTCCCTCGAAAGAAGTTTGCATGCCTTTTAAGCCAGGGGTCTTCCAACTTGGCCCTTTGAGGACTTGCGGACTTCAACTCCCAGAATTCCTCTGGCTGAGGGATTCTGGGAGTTGCAAGTCCGCAAGTCATTAAAGGGCCGGGTTTTGAAGACCCCGACCTTAAGCAAAGGAATGGGGTCAATGGGGAATTCTCTGCAGCCCACACTTCCCCCCTCCCCTACTTGGGGGGAAGGGAGGTTCAGGGGATTGGGGTGAAAATGTGGGTGCTGGTAGGCAGCCATTTTATGTGCCTTTTTGTCTCTCTTCCTTCACCCCCTTTTAAGAGTGTAGCAAATCTTTCATCTTTCATCCAGCAAGATTTCTATTTGATCCCTTCTGGTTTCTTAAGAAAATATTAAAAATAAATGTAAGAGATCTTGCTTCTTGAAAGTAGCCATAATACAGGGATCTTCCAATTTGGCCATTTTATGACTGGTAGACTTCAACTCCCAGAATTTCTCAGCCAGCTTTGCTGGCTGAGGGATTCTGGGAATTAAAGTCCACAACTCATAAAAGGGCCAAGTTGGAAGGCCCCTGCTCTAATAGAACCACCTTTTTATGGCATTTTTAAGAGAATGTTTCAGAAATGCCATTCCCAAGATGTTCAAATACATTGGTGCTATTATTTTATACTTTTCTAATGTCAAAATGGTGTGTGCTTTTATATTTTTTTTTAAATAAAACTTTAATACTTTTTTTCCTCTCTCTTATTTTTAAAAGAGCTTCATGAGACTGATGCTCAATCTCAAAACGGACGGCTGTAACTGAGCCTTAGTGAGGATGGGGGGGGGAACCCATTTTATTGTTTTGTGTTCTTAGTGCTAAGGAAACAAAAAGAAACGGTTTTGACCAAAGTTTGCCTTAAACATTTTATATCACGGTTTAATTAAAGTCAGTGTTCTTCTATAATGGCCCTGTTGTTTTTATTGGGGGGTGGGGGGTTGTAAGTGGCCTGGAAGACTCAGAGGATGGGTGTTGCATCCATTTCTGTAGATGAGGTAAAGCCTTAGGGCAGTGTTTCCCAAACTTGACAATTTTAAGGCATGTGGATTTCAACTCCCAGAATTTCACAGCCAGCGTTGCTGGCTGTGGAATTCTGGGAGTTGAAGTCCTCATGCCTTAAAATTGTCAAGTTTGGGAAAAACTGCCTTAGGGCAGGGATCTTCAAACCTGGCCCTTTTATGACTTGTGGACTTCAACTCCCAGAATTCTTCAGCCAGCATGCCTGGGTGAGGAATTCTGGGAGTTGAAATCCACAAGTCATAAAAGGGCCAGGTTTGAAGACCCCTGCCTTAAGGCAAGGATGAGCTACTATCCCAGAATTTCTCAACCAGCCATGCATCTTTTTTGGCACCAGAGACTGGTTTGAGGGAAGACAATTTTTCCAAGAACCGGTGAGGGAGGAGCGTGCAACCTAGATCCCCCCCACACACAGTTTACAATAGGGTTTGCTTGTTCGCCACTCACCTCCAGATGTGTGGCCCGGTTTCTAACAGGCTACAGTCCGGTGCTGATCCACAGTCCTGAGGTTGGGGACCCTTGCTTTAGAGACACCAAGGGAACAGAGTGGTAAAAGGAGATTGATAGAATAAATGTCAGTCAAGGTAACTTGCCAATACTAGCAACTGTGAGAGGGATCTGGGAGTCCTAGTGGACAATCCCTTAAATAGGAGCCAGCTGTGTGCTGCAGCTGCCAAAAAAGCCAACACAGTGCTAGGCTGCATTAACAGAGGGATAGAATCAAGATCACTTGAAGTGTTAATACCAGTTTACAAGGCCGTGGTATGGCCACACTTGGAATCCTGCATCCAGTTTTGGTCACCACGATGTAAAAAAGATGTTGAGACTCTAGAAAGAGTATAGAGAAGAGCAACAAAGATGATTAGGGGATCGGAGGCTAAAATATACAAGGAATGGTGGCTGGAATTGGGTATGTCTAGTTTAATGAAGAGAAGGACGAGGGGGGGCATGATAGCAGTCTTCCAGTATCTCAGGGGCTGCCCCAAAAAAAGAGGGAGTCAAGCTATTCTCCAAAGCCCCTGAAGGCAGGATAAGAAGCAATGGATGGAAACTTAAACAAGGAGAGAACCAACCTAGAACTAAGGAGAAATTTTCTGACAGTGAGAACAATTAACCAGTGGAACAACCTGCCTCCAGAAGCGGTGAATGCTCCAACACTGGAAGTCTTTAAGAAGAGTTTGGACAGCCCTTTGAAATGGTATAGGGTTTCCTGCCTGAGCAGGGAGCTGGACTAGATGACCTCCAAGGTCCCTTCCAAGTTTATTAAGCACACCCTTAAAAGTGAAGAGAAGGGACTCATGAGAGGCAGCACAGAGTGTAAATAAATAATTCTGCCATTATTTGATTCTTCCTCTTCAAAAGCTGTGTCTCCTTGAACAACTTGTATTGCACGAGAGTTAACTGGTGTCTCCATCCATTTCCTATCTCTGTTCCAGAACTGGGGGGACTGCCCAGTTTGGTGTGGGATTTTGGCTGCATTCACACCACATGCTAAAGCAGCACAGATCAAAGCCTTGCAGCTGCATTTTGAATAAGATTGTTGTCCCCAGATTGGGTCTGAGCCTGGTGTGGAAGTCAATGGAAGAACACCAGACAGAAGCTGCAGGTTTTATTCCCTTTTATTGAAGCGCTTCAGCTAAAGGGGTCCAAGTCAGCAAAATGCCGGGACCCAGAACAAAGGGTTAAAAGAGCTTTATACAATTTCACTAAAGCAGAAGACCGTGGGACAAGGTGGGGGATATATAAGAAATATCATCCAATAAACACTTTAATAATGATCTAACAATTGTCCTACTGGTCTCTAGTCGTCCCTGTTCCTAAACCTTGGCTAATGAATGCTCCAAGAATGATCTAATATACATTCTGTTTGCTTCAGGCCATCCCTATTTCTAATTTCTAGCCGAGCTTTGCAGATTGTTTTAATTCTTTGTTACTGATATCAGTCCTCTAACCACCTAGAATTGCTACAAATGTTATACTGCATATTCTCTGTGGACAGTTTTTCTTGCTGCAATTATAGGCATCCTGGTTTTCTTTCAAATGTATGCCACCATCTTGCATTGTTTTAGCAGACAGCCCATCAGATGCTAAGCTTGGTTAGTGTCATTTGGATTAAGGTTGTGGCTTTGTGAGATGCAGCCTCCTGGCCTGTTTACTTAAGTCTATGTAGTGCAGGGGGTCTTCAAACTTGGCCCTTTGATGACTTGTGGACATCAACTCCCAGAATTCCTCAGCCAGGCACGCGTGCTTGGCTGAGGAATTCTGGGAGTTGAAGTCCACAAGTCATCAAAGGGCCAAGTTTGAAGAACCCTGATCTAGTGCAATATTTTACAACATGAGCAGCATTAAGATGTGTGGACTTCAACTCCCAGCATCCCCCAGCCAGCAAAGCTGCATGGGGAATTCTGGGAGTTGAAGTCCACACATCTTTAAAGCCGCCCTGGTTGAAAAATATCGATGTAGCATTATAAAAACCATACAGTTCGTTTCAGCAGCTTGTGTGATGTTCAGAGCCATTTTCAATCCATTGCAAAGGGATCCCCGAGTTCTCAGATCATGGTTTGATGAGCAAACCCAGATGACTTAGTTCACACCTGTTACTAAACTATACCTTGTGAATACAAAAAAGCCGTGTTTGCTCACGGAATTGTGGCCAGCTAAAATGATCTTAAGAGTAAGTTCAAAAGGAAGGCAATTTCTCCTTGGATGATGAATGGACAGTAAGCAGAATTACTTTCTGACAATTTATGCAATGTTGGTTTGGTTTAAATTGCGGGGTTTATTTTCACCCCATGGCCAAAGAGCTTAATATGTGGCAGAAGGATAACTAAGGGCAAATAACTTAAGGGATTTGGATTTAATGCCCAGATTTAAGCTTCTTGCCAAGAATATTTAAAAGTGCCCTTGTAGTCAATGGCCTTCTCTGCCCCCTCCTCCTCCAAGAAACAGAGCCGGAGGGAAAGAGCGCCTGGGAAGGCAAGTCTCTCTAGCACAGAACTCCCTGCCACGGTCGGGCAAACCTCCTAAACCCCGATTGGCTGCTAAGTCCAGGCCACGCCCACCCGTGCAAGCCCCGCCAATAGGAACAAGGGCTGATCAAGCGTTGCCCGGCCTCTTCCGGCCAAAGGGCTGAGGCGTGGAAAGCATGGTCTGAGGTGCGGCCAGTGCCGATCATAATATCGATAACAATAACAGTTAACACTTTATTCAATGAAATAAAGAGTCGAAGACTTCATTCAATTCAAGCTACTAAGGCCGAGGAACCGCCCAACCAGGCCTCGAAAGCCGCTCTGCTGACTCACGGACTGATCGGAGAAGCGGAAGCCCCCGCCTTCCACAGCGAGGGCGTGGCCTCCTCACCAGCCACGCCCCCCCGTCGCCTTTAGCCGCGATCCCCGGGCGAGGCGCGCTCTTAGCAACGGCGCGGGCCCAGCCCCGCCCCCTGCCTGTCAGCCACCTCCCCCCGCCCGAGGGAGGGGGGCGTGTCCGCGCCGCGCGCTGCTTCGTTCCCCCTTCCGCTTTCGGCGGGTGACGTCAGCGCGCCTGCCGGCCTGCGCGTGACGTCAGATCCCGGGCGAGGCGGGCGGGGCCGGGCGGAACGGCGAGCCGCTGAGGTAACGGGAGGCGCGCGGGAGGCGAGGCGGGCCGGCGAGGCGGGAGGCCCCAACCCGGAGGCGGAGGCGCCTCGCTCGGCCCTTCCCCGCCTCGTCTCGTGGGGGGGGGTCATTGGAGGTGGTGGTGGTCGTGGGCCTACCCGGCCTGGTTTCCCAGGCCTAACCTGGTTTGCTCCCTTGGGTGGGCCTGGGGGGGGGGCCGAGAGGATGGGGGGGCCGCCACCCGTCCCCCCCCATGCACCGCCCCATTCCAGCCTCCCAATGTGGGGAAGGGGCTTGGCTCTGCAAATGTAGCCCCCCTCCCAAGCTGGCTGACCCCCCCCTTATGGGTGGGGGGGGCTGCATGTTGCCCCATGAGGAGGCCTCCCCCACATCCCCACCCTTTGGATGCTTGGGGGGGGGCTGGAAGGAGTGGGCTGCCCCCCCCAGGCCCTATTGTCCCAGCCCTCTTTTGGGTGGGGGGCTTCCCTGCCCCAAAGCTCTTTTCATGGCTCCTTGTGGGGGGAGGGCAACCGAAAGCCCCTTTGCGGGGGGGGGAGGGGAGGTTCTTTTCCAGGCTGGCCTGGAAAGGGGGAGGGGTGGAGTGGGGGTTGCTTTGGTTGCTTCAGAGGGTCTCATTTATTTTAATTAAATGTTCGCTCTGCCTTATCACTGACTTCCTTGGAGCGTGTGCAGAGGCATGAGCTGCCTCCCCCCCCCCAGACTGCTTTATTTGATTTGTTTTATTTTTAAATTTCCACTCTGCCTTTCAGAGAGTTGCTCCAGGCATGTGCAGAGTTCTCCCTGCTTTGGGGGTGGGGTGGGGTGCTTCCCCCCCCTTCTGACTGTTTTATTTTGTTTTATTCTTAGATTTCCACCCTGCTTTTCATTCATTTGCTCCAGGCCTGTGCAGAGTCCTCTCTGGGGGGTGGGGTGGGGGGGCTGCCTTTTCTCTCCCCCCCCCTCGACTGCTTTATTTATTTGATTCGTTTTATTTTTAAATTTCCATGTGCAGATTCCTTTCTGCCGGAGGGGGCTGCCTTTTTCTTCAGACTGTTTTGTTTTATTTGGTTTTAATTCTTAAATTTCCACCCTGCCTTTCAATGACAATGCAGAGTTCTCTCTTTTCCAGTCCCCTCTCTCCCCCCAGCCCAAACTCAGCTTGTATTTAGAATTTATTTTTTAATCTTTCATATTTATTATATCTTGTTTATTTAATCTTTATTTGTTAAATTT